GTGGTCTGGTCAACATACTTTAGCCACGTTATTGTGACTCATCGCCTGTTTATTATTATTATTAGATACGGGACTGTATTTAGACTGGTCGGGGTAGGCCTAAGTTAAATGCTTTAAGAAATATTTGCATTTATAAACACCCACGTGCGATTTTCATGGAGTCAAGTATGAACCCCTGAACTGAGTACAGGAGATGCTTTTTCACTCACAGGGTTATTGGTTTTCAATTTATTCCAGCAGTTACAATATTGGAAATATTGTAACTGCCGAAACGCTTCGGCAGAGGCTGAGGCGGTTTGTGAGAGTAGGAATTGGACTCGACGAGAGTGACATTGTTGCTGGTGAATGTCGCTGGTGTTGAGATCTGAGGTCTGAAACTTAATTTGGAGCAACGTTCAATATAACTGCTACTAGCATTTGCCAGTATTCTGACGATTTGTGGAGTTCATATAGATCTGTTTGCATGGCCTCAATATAATTTTCACTTCCCAATTTGCAATAAATCTTAATGTCAAATCCAAATTTTATGTGGTTTGTAATATCCTAATGTGTGTCACTTATGCAGGTGACAAAAATGGTTGGCCCCAAGATGGATCCTTGCAGTACCACACTCACCACATCTCTTTGTACTGTGACAGCTCTCTAACCCTGTTCATGGAGGACAGACGGAAATGAGAGCAATGAGGGGATACGTTCGAGAACACGCCGGCTTCCTGTCCCCGTCGAGGCCACTAGCGAGATGGTGGCCCTCAGATAAATATATTCGCCAGCATCATAAATGATAGCCAAGTCTCAATATAATATTAGAAAAAGAACCGGAATATATATTGGTCAATTAAAGTCTCCCTTCAGAAAGATAGAATATTTATTGCAAAGAGTTTCAAAATAAGAAATATCTAGAACAGATAACACACAATAACAAGGAAATTGTACAATGCTGAGAAGAGAGCATGTAGCGGATATGTACACAACAAGCAGAATGAGAGCATTCGTAACTGTCTATAGAGCACATAGCCACCGGCCCACACACGCTTGTGCTCTGATGCGCTGTCTGCAGCAAACACCATAAACATGTGAACCAAAGGACTAGTTTAGCAACATTATTTATGGGTGCTAGTGCACAGCGTTACCTTCACGGAGGTAATACTCAGCGCTACTTTTACTGAACTAGTACACAGCGCTAGTTTCACTGAACTAGTACACAGCATCAGCTTCACTGAACTAGTATACAGCGTGAGCTTCACTGAAATACTATACACCATCAGTTTCACTGAACTAGTATACAGCATTAGCAGCTCTGAATTAGTATACAGCATCAGCAGCACTGAACTAGTATACAGCATCAGCTTCAGTGAGCTAGTATACAGCGTCAGTTTCACTGAACTAGTACACAGTGTCAGCTTTACTGCGCTAGTTCAGAGCGTCAGCTGGACTGAGCTCGTACACAGCGCCAGCTTGACTGATCTGGTAAAACGTCAGCTTCACTGAGTGCTCAATCCAACAAATTTCAGGTGCAGCCAAAAAGGGAGCATGTGCAAATTATAACATACATCGACAACTGTGTACACATCTTGACACAACCAGCCTAGACATCGTGACACAACCGGTGTAGACATCGTGTCACAACCGATGTAAACATCGTGTCACAACCGATGTAAACACCTCATCATTAGGTTACGTATCTCAATGTTAATATCTATGTCAAATGTTAGAGGCAAGCATAAACCTCTCAGCGGGATCAATGGATTACAAAAGTCAATTACAACAATGATAAACTTCATTAATTCATAACATCGAAAGACTTGGAGAAGAGAGGAGAAGAATTATTGATCTTCCATGATTGTAGGACTCTTGCAGCCTGACGTGGTGATACCCTCTAGGCATACTGGTGCACAGTCATACGAGAAGAGTTTCATTTATACCAAAATGAAGCTTGATAAACATCTTTTACTATATTAACCGACAGGCTTTCTTGGTCCATTCTATTACTAACCATTACATATAAACTTCAGATTATGTAGTTTTCAAGACTAGTATTGTGATGATCTTTGCGTCAAGATAACTGAAATGTACAGAATTTGTCTCATGGTTATTAAAGTATTATTCCTGTTTAATATTGGAGTTGGCTAAATTTGCAACAATCTTTGTATACATCATGCTAATTCACTACAGATTACTAATTACGTTTGATTTCTTCTTACTTATATCAACTGTAAATATAATTTTTTTATTATAAATAATATACTATTTGCCACTTGTTTCAATCATATGCTTGTGTTTTCACCATGAAAAAAATACCACAAAGTTGAGCTTCTAATGCATGTAGACTTTAGTTTATATACATATGAAAAATATTGTTCATATTATGAATTTAAAATAATCACAACCCATTTCTGTAATTTTAGTGAAAAATACATCTTGATTGCCTCCCATTACTGCTCATAAAGCTCTCAGAGATTCTTGGCCCCTTGTTACTAGTGGTGAACTATGCCCATTTTTTCTACCACGTTCCCCCGTTTTTTTATCTTTTATTATTTTTTTTCTTTCAACGCAATTTATACTTTAAGCTCAATTACTATTAAGTTTTAGTCCAAGTGTTTTTCCCACCTCACCTTGCCCTAAACGCTATGCGTACTAGTGGCTTTAAGTATTGTATGTACTACCTCTATCTTTAAATCAAACAGAATGTTTGTACTGTAACTCTGCAACAATGTATGTACTTTCCTAAATAAATTATTATCATTATTATTTCCCTGGTTCATATTCGCAAGTGTGCTCCCAGTTTCCTCGACTACATTCATTTATTTGTTATTTATTTATTCATAACTTACGAAGCTTACCACCTTTGTCCTTATCGGTGTATCACTATTTGTAAAGCTAATATGTGCTTTATAGGACCCCCAAATATACTTTCTGAGCCATCATCAATGATGATGTTCACATCTGCATTACTCTGTAAGTTACTAGGGGAAAAGAAGCTCACGTGAACTTCTATGTATTTATGCTTCACTAGAGGTAGACCTTACACGAGCTTCCTCTCTCATTTCTTCTATGAAAGCTGACGCAAGCTTCCCGGCCCCTCATTACTTGAAGAACTGACCGTCTTACTGACACACAGCACTGCAAGTAAAGCATACACAACACGCTATCATCATCACCATTGCTGAAACTGTCTACGACTGAGTTGCGGTGGCAGTAATCACTACTGGCATGCATTGTTGTTCTGATTGGAGAGAGTTCCGGTGGTAAAATCCTCTACTGGCATGCATTGTTATTCTGATTGGAGAGGATGCTTCAGTATTGGATGTCAGTGTTTGTAGAAAAGGTAGAGTGAGTATTCTTTGCTGAAAAGTTGATGACTAGTTTTTGGTAATACAATACTTTTGTACGTCCCTCACAACAACACCTCTACACTAACCCACGTCACCGTTAAGGTAGCAGTGTGTGATAGATTAATATACTATGACTACTATCTTTAACCCACGTTATTTTCAGTAATTATTACAGGACGAAGTATGTCATGCCATCAGCTTAGTATAACTTGTCATAACTCGTGAAGGTAGCAGTGTGTGATAGAATAATATACTATGACTGGCATGCATCTCTGTTATGTCTGAAGAAATTTTTAATGGACACCTTTTAACCCTAATTATTTGTTGCCTGTTATAAAATACTTTTTACTTATAATAAGAAATTAATACACAGTGCTATAATCTATTGACATATTATTCTTAACGATGCAAAATGTTAGAACGATACTAACTATTGAGGTAAGGTAATTATCAGGGGGAAAAGCGCCAAGCCATTACGACTATATAGCACTTGGAAGGGATCAGGATAAGGATTTGGGATGGGACGGAGGGAAGGAATGGTGTCCAACCACTTGTGGACGGTCGGGGACTAAACGCCGACCTTCATGACGTGAGGCCGTCGCTCTACCGTCCCGCCCAAGAAGTGGTTACTAACTATTGCACATGATTATTATTTAGGGTAGGCTTATTTGTTCTATATGAATAACATGTGCAGTGGTCATGTACCCGTGCTGTTGGTGGGGAGACGGAGGTTCGAACCCTGGCGCCCTGAGTTCCAGTTCTCTGAGGGGTCGAAGATATATATATATATATATATATATATATATATATATATATATATATATATATATATATATATATATATATATATGTCGTACCTAGTAGCCAGAACACACTTCTCAGCCTACTATGTATGGCCCGATTTGCCAAATAGGCCGAGTGATTTTCTTTATTTTCAATAAATTGTTTCTTATTGGTTTATTTTAAGTATTATTATTATATTATATTAAGAACATAAATTATTGATTTAGTTATGTTAGTTTAGGTTAGATTAAGATAGGTTAGGTTAACTAAAATATTAACATTCCGGAAACCTTGGCTTATTAGGCAAATCGAGCCTTGCATAGTAGGCCAAGAACTGCGTTCTGGCTACTAGGTACAACATTATGTATGTATATATATATATATATATATATATATATATATATATATATATATATATATATATATATATATATATATATATATATATATATGTCGTACCTAATAGCCAGAACGCACTTCTCGGCCTACTATGCAAGGCCTGATTTGCCTAATAAGCCAAGTTTTCCTGAATTAATATATTTTCTCTAACTTTTTTCTTATGAAATGATAAAGCTACCCATTACATTACGAATGAGTTCAATTTTTTTTATTGGAGTTAAAATTAACGTAGATATATGACCGAACCTAACCAACCCTACCTAACCTAACCTAACCTATCTTTATAGGTTAGGTTTGGTTAGGTAGCCGAAAAAGTTAGGTTAGGTTAGGTTAGGTAGGTTAGGTAGACGAAAAAACAATTAATTCATGAAAACTTGGCTTATTAGGCAAATCTGGCCTTGCATAGTAGGCATAGAAGTGAGTTCTGGCTACTAGGTACGACATATATATATATATATATATATATATATATATATATATATATATATATATATATATATAACATTCAACATTAATGGTTTTGACATCGAGACTGCAAAATTATACTGAAATGTAAGTATTAAATAGTGTAACCAGACCTTATACATCAGTAACCAGACCTTATACATCAGTAACCTGATCAAATACATCAGTAACCAGACCTAATACATCAGTAACCAGACCTAATACATCAGTAACCAGACCTTATACATCAGTAACCTGATCAAATACATCAGTAACCAGACCTAATACATCAGTAACCAAACCTAATACATCAGTAACCAGACCTAATACATCAGTAACCTGATCAAATACATCAGTAACCAGACCTAATACATCAGTAACCAGACCTTATACATCAGTAACCTGATCAAATACATCAGTAACCAGACCTAATACATCAGTAACATGATCAAATACATCAGTAACCAGACCTAATACATCAGTAACATGATCAAATACATCAGTAACCAGACCTAATACATCAGTAACCAGACCTAATACATCAGTAACATGATCAAATACATCAGTAACCTGATCAAATACATCAGTAACCAGACCTTATACATTAGTAACCTGATCAAATACATCAGTAACCAGACCTAATACATCAGTAACCAGACCTAATACATCAGTAACATGATCAAATACATCAGTAACCAGACCTAATACATCAATAACCAGACCTAATACATCAGTAACCAGACCTTATACATCAGTAACCTGATCAAATACATCAGTAACCAGACCTAATACATCAGTAACCAGACCTAATACATCAGTAACCAGACCTAATACATCAGTAACATGATCAAATACATCAGTAACCAGACCTAATACATCAATAACCAGACCTAATACATCAGTAACCAGACCTTATACATCAGTAACCTGATCAAATACATCAGTAACCAGACCTTATACATCAGTAACATGATCAAATACATCAGTAACCTGATCAAATACATCAGTAACCAGACCTAATACATCAGTAACCAAACCTAATACATCAGTAACCAGACCTAATACATCAGTAACCAGACCTAATACATCAGTAACCAGACCTAATACATCAGTAACCAGTAACCAGATCTAATACATCAGTAACCAGACCTAATACATCAGTAACCTGATCAAATACATCAGTAACCAGACCTAATACATCAGTAACCAGACCTAATACATCAGTAACCAGACCTTATACATCAGTAACCTGATCAAATACATCAGTAACCAGACCTAATACATCAGTAATACCAGTAACCAGACCTAATACATCAGTAACCAGACCTAATACATCAGTAACCAGACCTAATACATCAGTAACCAGACCTAATACATCAGTAACCAGACCTAATACATCAGTAACCAGACCTAATACATCAGTAACCAGACCTAATACATCAGTAACCTGATCAAATACATCAGTAACCAGACCTAATACATCAGTAACCAGACCTAATACATCAGTAACCAGACCTAATACATCAGTAACCAGACCTAATACTATCAGACCTTATACATCAGTAACCAGACCTAATACATCAGTAACCTGATCAAATACATCAGTAACCAGACCTAATACATCAGTAACCAGACCTAATACATCAGTAACCAGACCTTATACATCAGTAACCTGATCAAATACATCAGTAACCAGACCTAATACATCAGTAACCAGACCTAATACATCAGTAACCAGACCTAATACATCAGTAACCAGACCTAATACATCAGTAACCTGATCAAATACATCAGTAACCAGACCTAATACATCAGTAACCAGACCTAATACATCAGTAACCTGATCAAATACATCAGTAACCAGACCTAATACATCAGTAACCAGACCTAATACATCAGTAACCTGATCAAATACATCAGTAACCAGACCTAATACATCAGTAATCTGATCAAATACATCAGTAACCAGACCTAATACATCAGTAACCTGATCAAATACATCAGTAACCAGACCTTATACATCAGTAACCAGACTTTATACATCAGTAACCTGATCTAATACATCAGTAACCAGACTTTATACATCAGTAACCTGATCTAATACATCAGTAACCAGACTTTATACATCAGTAACCAGCCTTAACTACACCAGACACCATCAACTTAATTAACCATCACTACACAAACGCTTAAATCATTACTGTGATATAATTCCTTTGCTAATAAAAAAACCCCGCACAAGTGGCCAAATAATATACTATATTATCATTAGCATATTCCGTATTTCCTAATTTCTGCGTTTATTTTAAAGTAGTAGAGAGTCCTGGTGACGGATACAGCTGAGTTAGTAAATGTTGTGCTTGTAATACTTGATATATTTGTGCGTTATCACTTTCACTAATCGTAATATGTATTGATGCCATTTATTATTCTGCCGAAATGCATCTCTTTTTATTAAAAAAAATCTTTGTCCTTCCTGCACGCCAATAATGATTAGTAATAATAATTTCTGGATAAATCACACTAACGTTGATATATATTAATGAGATAATCAACTGGAGCTCTGAGGAGACTCGAACCCACAACCAGAGACTCCCAGGCGATGACGATAAATAACCATTACACCACCCTGACGTGGCAGTCCTTTCTACTGGATTTCACCTGAGTTTACAGGAAGTCTGGAGGCCCGTGCTGAAGCCAGTCCAAGTTTTAAGTATGACCCCCACAAGTTCTCGGGGGGGGAAGGGATAGGCAACATAGGTTATCCACTGTTCGTTCCAACATCAGATACACACAGAAATCACACTTATTTAATTTCAGTGGAAATCAGGTTCTTTGAATTTTAAGCGTCAGCGACTAGGATTCTTTGAGTCGCGGGTTCGAGTCACCTCAGAGCTCCAGTTGATTTTTTCAATAGTAATAATGATAATAATAATAATAATATTAATGCCATAATAAAATGAAACTAATAATCATAATTGACAATAGTATTAATACATGCAATAATGCTAATCATAATGAACACATTATTAGTGTGTCGCATAAACATCTGAAACCGCATTCCACAATTCCTGAGCTTGAATAAATGCCTGAAACTAACAATGGAAGTGCGAGTACGAATGTAAAACTCACTGTTTATTATTTTCTTAACGAAGAAATGCACTGCTGAGATAACGTCCCACACTTTCCAGAGAGAGAGAGTCCTTCACGAATATTTATTTTAATATAAAGCAATTCTCGGTCATACATGATGTACATAAAAACTTAAGGTAATAAGAGGTTAGGGTTACTCTTCACATATTGGTATTCTACACAATATCCTCTACAGGTACTGACTGTAGACTTATAGCTTGGAACATCTTAACTGCAATGCATATTTCCTAGTCAAAATTTGTATGGTACTGTTTGGGACGGACACGAATAGGAAAGCAACATCAAAATGGCCTAGAATTAACCTATAAACGTTTGTCCATATCAGACACAGGCAAACTGGGTCGAAATTTCTAGATAGTGATAAAATCTATATGACTAAGTTAATGTTATTAGCATTGTCATCATGACACACGAGGGTTATTGCATTAATTAAATGTCATGTCACAATGGCAACAAGAAATCACATAAATTCTGACATACAGATTTGTGCAGCTGTTGGGGACTTTAGTCCCATCTTACATTCTAAAGACCTCCCTTGGTATTACGGACCCTGGGAGTTATAATAGAACCCGGCAGATAAATACTGCTCCCATATCCTTACCCTTTGGCCTTACCTAAGGAGCTAAAGGACATATCATAAATTATGATAAACACACACACACACAATTCTGAGGCTTAAGTTAGCCTAGTAAACATGAGGTAACAAACAAATAAGCAAACTTTTGAAGAACGAGCAGGATTATCGACGATTAGCAAGCCTTGAAGAGTTACTGGTGCTGAAACTTGTGCTTCATCACACAGAGTACCACGACTCGTTGACAATGACGAGTTACTGGTGCTAAAACTCGTGCTTCATCACACAGAGTACCACGACTCGTTGACAATGACGAGTTACTGGTGCTAAAACTCGTGCTTCATCACACAGAGTACCACGACTCGTTGACAATGACGAGTTACTGGTGCTAAAACTCGTGCTTCATCACACAGAGTACCACGACTCGTTGACAATGACGAGTTACTGGTGCTAAAACTCGTGCTTCATCACACAGAGTACCACGACTCGTTGACAATGACGAGTTACTGGTGCTAAAACTCGTGCTTCACCCTACCTCAGCCTTGCTACAACGTGCTCAGATATCATCATTATTATAGAATGTGGTACCTCAATGCTAGTTTTGCATTACCAAAACAGCAGTGTATATTTATACAAAATGCTGATGCTGAACGTTCAGTGACCATGTGATCACATATACATTCACACAAAGACACACACACACTATATATATATATATATATATATATATATATATATATATATATATATATATATATATATATATATATATATATATATATACAAGGATATTTATTTTTATTTATTTATTTCAATGTATCTGTTGTAAAGTGGTATTTTACTGCTCAATTAGTGTTGGAAATTAAACATAAATAACATTATAATTTCCTAGTGGCTATTTTCATATATTATTATCGCATTGCTGTATAAATACATTTTGTAAGTTCCTGACCAAATTTTAACAAGAATTTAAACCCTTTTTCCATTGCCATCACTTCCATGCATAATAATATGGTACGTATTTACAATATACAGAAAGATAGGCTAAAAAGCATTTCTGCATTGATGCACCACACAATGTATTTCTCATCGTCAGATCACTTAGAGTGAACGTCAGATCACTTAGAGTGAACTTGAGATGTGAATCAGGGCAGAGCCAAGTAAGGTACAGTGGGGTCTTGCAAAACCAGTAATGTCTAAAAAAAAAAAAGAGGTATAAATTTCCTACAGTTGAGTTGCTACGAAAAATCACTTACACAGCCTGATGGAGGCATCGGCATGTTGATAACACAATTGACAGATAACAGCTGGCTTTGTCTTGTTACTTTAAATCTGTATGTATAGGCATGTATAGGCTATGTATATAGGCATAAAAAGCTATAGTCTAGAGACGACTAGCCTGGGGATCACCGAGTAACTAAGCATCTTGTAAAACAAGTCACTTTCCTATTACAAATAATAAATATTATTCTTTATTCGCCATAATAAATCCAACACGAGGTTCATTTTCCGTGGGCTCCATGAGCCATGGAGAGCATACAGTCTTAAGGCTTCACAAAAAATTGTCTGCCAGCTAATATTGGCTCAGTACAAACACTGATGTAAATATAGAATCTATTTATGAGTTAAGTCACTCTAGTGACACAGAATAAGAGGTAGGCCTTGCTACAAAACTAAAAATATTATTCGCTAACTGTACATTTCACTAAAGTAATCAACGTAATACTGATTATATATATATATATATATATATATATATATATATATATATATATATATATATATATATATATATATATATATATATATATATATATATATATATATATATATATATATATATATATATATATATATATATATATATATATATATACAACAAAATCCAACGTAACCCGAACGTTTTCACATAATTACGTTGTCATAACGCTGAAAGAACGCAAACGTAGTAAAAAAAGACGTTGTGGTTACGTTGTGTTTACTCGTATATACCAGAGAGATAGCTATATCAACACCTGGGCTTGAATAAATACAATTATTATTCTTTCATTGGCTTACGTTTCGGTATTATCTAACGCCATTAACAAAGCCTAAAGGAAGATAAGGAGGTGCACAAATCAGTCACGAGTTGACGAAAAAAAATATATCATAAAAAAATTAAAAACAAACTTTATGT